GCTTTCCACATTTGGAGGACATAACACTTCTTACGATCCCCACCAGGCAAAAGGAGATTAGTTCAAGCTGCTGGTGGGAAACTGTAGTGTATGCAGTCAGTGTTTTCAAGTATGTTAAAAAAAACCTTAAAAAACAACAAATAGACTAGTAGCATCTTAGGGTACGTCTAGACTACATGCCTTTGTCACCAGAGGCATGTAGATTAGGCTACCAGATTTAAATAATCGCTGCTTCATTTAAATTTACACAGCTGCCGCGCTGAGCCGACAAACAGCTGATCAGCTGTTTGTCGGCTCAGCGCGGCAGCTGTGTAAATTTAAATGAAGTACCTGGGTGGTCGACAAATACCTTTGATGTCGACACCCGCGCATCCAGACTATCACGCTGAGCCGACAAACAGCTGATCAGCTGTTTGTTGGCTCAGCGCGGCAGCCATGTAAATTTAAATGAAGCGGCAATTATTTAAATCGCCGCTTCATTTTACTATGTCTGGTAGCCTAATCTACATGCCTCTGGCGACAGAAGCATGTAGTCTAGATGTACCCTTAGAGACTAACAAACCTTGTAGATGGTATCATGAGCTTTCTTGGGCATAACCCACTTCTTCAGTCACTAACACTTCTGTCATCTGAACAGCACAACTGGAGGGCCCCGGCCACCTACAGCTTTCTAAAATGTAACTACCTATCTGAAGTTCATGCTGCAGTAGGAATTTGTATCTATCAGCATTTGGGTCAGATTTCATCAATGAATCAACAGCATAATGTGTTAGGTTCCACTGCCATTCCACCCCTGCACATTTCTGGACACATTTGCAAATCCCAGTATTTCTGCAAATTATTGTGTCACCTATAGACTGTCAGGATTACCTGTACTTGACACGGACTAGATTTGTGATGGAACCTATTTCCCCCACAGACCATTCAGTTCCTAAGTGGCTCATTACACTGCTAAGTGGGTTCAGAGTGGTGTATTTACAAGGATAGCAAGGGAAGGTTAGTATTTTTAAAAAGCAGGAGCAGCTTAGCAAAAACCTGCCCCTTTTCACTTTCAAGGCTTTTTTTGCTGTTTGTATTTTCCAGTTGCCATTTGGAACTCCACATGAGTGGAGGGTGGGAACCATGCCAATGGGATACAATCTTCTGTTTGGTTAGTGGATAGATGCTGCCATCCAGGACTTCTTACTACTTGTGTTGGTGCATAGAATGGAAGTTCATCCCAGTGTTATTTTAAATGGAGTCAAACTTCAGAAGCCACCCAGAGCTACAGAGCTATGTCTGCTGCCGGCTTGAGGCAGACTGTTCCTTGGACAGGAGGCATTGAACTGATCCTCCCAGTATAGCCCTAGGCCGTGCAGCTACTGCTCCTGCAGGCAGAACTTCCCATTGATTCTGTTGCTGAAATGGGTCTTTTTGCTGGCCTCTCCGCATAGTGCTCAGCACCTGGTCGAACGTCTCATAAAACAGTTGCCAGCACTGCAGTTCTGATCCCTGGTTTTCCTGTATCAACTTTTGAGCTGTTCGAGCCACTCCCTGTACGCGTTCTCATATTTGCAATGCCGCCAGCTTCTTCACTATTTGTTGGTATGTTTGGTCATTTTAGTCTCCTTACTGTGGTTTTGCTGGCTTTGCTCCAGAGATTAATCAAAATCTGGCTGTGCTTCCATGGCTATGAAGCAGTATGCTTTGAAAAAGGCTCCATTGCAAATGCAGAAAGCAGGGCTGCATTAAAGACAAACTTGACATAGCTTAGGGCTTCAGCGTAAGAGGACCCATTGCGAATCAGAAAGTGTATTATTCTAACTACAACAAAAATACAACTATTAAAGTTTTATATTTGCACTAGAAAACTTGCCCAGCATTGCCCAGGCTGGGAGCTGGCAGTGTTCAGGGGCAGAGAATGAGGAGGAGGGGCTGGCAGGGCAAGGAGGGACTCAGATAGGGGAATCCCATCACACAGGTGCCTGTTCTCTACCCCAGCCAACCCAGGGGAGCAACAGTCATCTAAATCCCTGAACAGATCTACTCCTCTCCCACCTTCCTGCTTTGAAGTGTAAAATAATTTATCCTTTGATCTACATGCCAAACCTCTCTGGTCTGGTAACATCCAAGATCTGCCTGTTTCCAGACCAAATAGCCCCAGTCACTAAGGTTAACAGCAGCTGGCAGCTTGCAGGGCTAGCAGCCAGGGGACAGGAAGCCCTGCTGCAGCTGGAGTAGGGATGATAGCCTGTACAGGAGCAAGGCCATGCCAGGAGAGCCCAAGGCCTGATCTAGCTGGTCCAACGAACTGCCTTGTTTGGGACTGCTCAGGTTCTGAGGGTGCTGGCTCAGAGAGATCCAATCTGTACAATAGATTCCAACCCTTCTGGCATTTAAAAAAACCCAAACCTGCAGTTTTCTCTTGTGGCCAGCTAACTCCAACTAAGGAATTCCCTTTTTTCTAACCAAACCCCACTACCTCCTGATTAGTATTCAGTTTCATTATGTAAAATAAGTTGAAAAATAAATTAGGTTCTCTATTCTGACAGTTGACAGTTCACCTGGCTTTGAATCCTGTGAACTATGTGTTAGTGATATCAGCACTGCAGTACTAATATTCCATTCCCATTATCACTAATTATGAAGTGGTGACAGACCTTGAAAAGCAAAGACTCCAACAGGTAAGCACATGTCAGCTTACGGATTTTAATATACTGAATATTACATAAAAAGTGTTGGCTTTCAAAATGAATGACGAATCAACCTACTCCATCAAAATTAAAGCTAAATAGTTGTGTTGGGCCATTTGAGAGCCAAGGAGGGAAAATAAGGATAAGAAGGCTGACGTTCTCATGGTATTTTATTTTCAGGCTACTCAATACATCTTAGATACAAATGGCTTAAAGAAATAACAGTAAGTAAGCTGAAGTAACAGTTTCAGTATTTTCAATTTTGTTGCCCTAAAATAGTTCCTATGATAAATTCTTAAATTCAAACTAATTTTTGCTGAACAAGGTGAAGTTCAGCTATATGCACTTAATTTTTAAATGTAAAACCCAGTTTAGCTCAATCAGTTTTCTTGTCTTTTTTTATTTAATGGCATATACTTAATGACTGCAGAGAACACAAAACTGTTTGATGCAGCATTAACCAAGGTTTTTCCATCTCTAATTCAGTTATAAGACTTTTCAGCCTTTGGACCAGGTTTATTTTCCTCTTCAACCCTAAACTAAAAATTAAAGTTTGGCTGAAGCTTATTCCCTCTATTGTAAATCCTGATCCTGTAATTTGGGGACCCAGTGGACTTTTAACCTAAATAATAACTGTATGAAAGTTATCTATGATAGTTTAAAAATTAGTTTTACTGCTTATTTATAAAATCTCAGCAAATGATGGGGTTTTAATAACTTTCTTTAAACTGGCACTAACTCCCAATACAAAGATAATAGAGCAAACAAAGCATAGTCTACATTAAAATTCCTTCCTGCTCTGTTCTGTATTAAGCATCTGAGACTGAGGGTGATGAAAGGTAATAGTAATTACATGTGCATAGAATAGATATGAAAATAAATATGCATCTATAAGTAGTTTTTTTCAGAAATTACATTGTGATCTTTACATACAAATCAATTACTTTAGAGGGGCTGTTCTGAGGATTGCTTTATCTTTTATTAATTTGTTTTTAATTATTCTCTCCTTTTTTGTTTGGTTGAAGCTATATAATACCCTATTATTGTAAACTTAAGCCATGTCTTACTAGTACAATGTGTTTTTGATTATTTTATTCTGAGTAACGTTTAAGACCACTTACATCACAATTAAACTCGTTCATCTGTGATAGGTCCTGGATTAAAATAGAAACACTTTTTGATGTTAGTCCAATTCTCTGCAGTACCTCTAAGTAGTACTGTAGCAGAAATAATCTCATGGAGAAAGGGGGAAAAATAAGCCATTTTTTTTACTGCCTATATTCTATCCCATCTGGGGGCTAGCATAGCCTCTGGGCACATTTTAGGAGTAGCATACAAAAGCAGCCTAGGGCTCATATCCCAGAATTATTGTTTGGCTCCTTGCAGTGTGTTTGACATTTCATGGTAGCAAAATGCCATACGTGGGCTGGAAAAGGGAAGATCTCTCATGCATAGATTTTAAGAGGCAAGATTATTGTGGCTAAGTAACTCAGCTTGACTGACTGATTTACTTAAATAGTGTGGACCGATAGTTTTCAAATTCTAGGCCAGTATTGCTCAAACTAAAGTTAAAATCACTGTGTAATATATATGCCAGTAATGGCATGTGAACAGACTTATTAAATATGAATGCATCTGTTGCCAATCCATTTGGAAATCAGCTTTTTATTCTAATTGCTCATTTATTCTTCCTTCAGAGTAACTGATTAATCTAGTCTGTTGAATATCTTATGTCTAAAATGATTCAGATGTTTTAATATCAACCAATACATTAACATACAAACATTTCTAACTACAGGGAACATTGTGTCTCAGTATTTCAGTTCATAAATCCAACTGCTTTATCACTATTGATGCATACAAGAGAGACTGGCTTTTTACAGAAACTTGGGTGAAATGTGTGTTATCTAGTTTGAAAGTTTATCTCTATGCAAAGATGTAAAAGGTTTGATTGCTTCCTTACATTTATTGTTGAAAGTCAAAATTACTTATTCCTGATTTGTTCTTTATCATCTACTTTTCATTTGGACTTACCTGCTTAGTGAAGTCTTACAAGGCTGTATTTTTTTTGAAGTGCAATACATTAATAGTTAACCACGCATTTCTTGCCACAAAGGTTGTATATGGAAAATCTTTTGCCAGCTTAACACCTAGATTCTGCTAGATTTTATTTTTTGACCCTTGCTTTTTATCTGAGCATACATTTATAAAAATGGTAAGATGCTATAGTTGAAGTGTCCAGTCAAAACTATTCTGCTTGTTTTAATTCTCGCCTGCAAAAATATATTAAGATGTGTGTAACTTATGAAAAATTATTCCAACACAGTGTCATTTTATATAAAGTGTTTAATTTCATTTAAACACAGGCTATTCAGATCACAAATATTTGTTTCCAACTTAGCTGCTTTTATTTTCAGACAGCAGGATTCTTTAATGCAGCTGATGAGAACTTGGATAACTTGAGATTTATAGGGAAGCCTGAAGCAATGAGACTCACCATGATTCAACTGCAGATACTGGAACACTGACTAGTTACTGCTGCATAGGGTGTGAAAAACATTAAAATGTAGCTAAATAGTCAGAAATTAGAACCAGCATTTTCAATGAAATAGATAACTTTTAGCTTCTAATCTGAAAATCCAAGAAGTCACTAACACGACTAAACTGGTAATAATTTATGTGGAAATTTTACCTTTTTAAAAGTAATTAAACACTTACTTACATAATGTACCAATTTATCAACTGGATAATCAGTTGGAAAATTGTTTCCAATATGGGCAATTAAACATTCTTTTCAGTACATGGAAAATATAGCCTTATCCCCTCTCTGCAGGAGAGAGGGGCTGCTGTTTTCAGGAAAACATGCTGGAAAGTGTAACTAATATAAAATTGGAGTGGTGGCTTCTGGTAGCAATTTTAACTATAATATTTTTTTTCTATTTAAAGACAGATTCAAATAAAGTATTACAATGATCAATGGAATAGATGAATACAGAACAGATTAACTGGCACAATCCAAGTTTCTAGAAGATTTGACCTGCTAATATTTCTATGTTGCATTAAATACTTGTCTTTAATATGGGTAGCTTTCCATAACGCTTTAGATGTGGTAAAGTGTCAGCTTTCCACACAAAATGCATTAACTATTATCAATGACACTGAAGAATAGGATTTCTCTCATTTTCTTCTTTGACATCTATGGTACCATCCAATAGCTCAGTATAGAGTAGACCGTATTTGGCAGAGGGACTGCAGAAGTCAATACTGCTTTTAGAGGAAGTTGACGGAATCCTTATTTTCTTTAATGTCTTCACAACTACGTTTTCAGTAAATTTGGTTTGGGAAAAGATCATTTCTTCAGTGAGAAAACTAGGTACATCTACTAAACTGGCTTAGCTGGCAAATATGCCATTTTAAAATGCACTTTATCCAAGTTGCCTATAATTACCTGTCTTGTAATGTAGTGTGTCTATATTTAAGAATTAATCTTTGAATCAATCTACAAAATAACGTTAAAGAAAGGGAATTTATCAGAAAAACGTAGAGAATTTTTGCAGACCTTAAACTTACATGTTAAGGCACTTACCATTCAAGTAAAACAGTTTTTATACAAACATATTGAGGGGTGGACATTTTACTACACCATTTTTTAAAGAAAAAAATAACATTGACCAAATATTTATAAAATTGTTGCATCAAGAGAAAGGTTGTGTTTTATTATCTGAAATGAGCACAAAGTACACCTTCCACAATAACACTGAAAGCAGTGCAAAGACTGACAGTGACCTTTGACTAAAGGTAGTTTTGTAAAAAGAAAAATACCAAATAAATCAGTGCCCTGCTTTGATTGTTGTAAAATTTTTTACATAAAAGTTGGTCCAAACTTACAAAAAAAGCACAAGTGTGCATAGTTCAGAAGATCTGAAAGAGTGCCATAAAAAGCTGATGTCCCTAAATTTAGCATCCACTTAAAACTGCCAAAATACAAAATAAAATTCAGAACTAGAATTTGTGAACATGTACAATCAATTAATCTAGTTTCGAGACAGCATGAGTTTTAAGCAGTTTAAATTTTCCTACTGTTTGCAAGACCCTTTTCCACATAAAAATAAAGCTGTTGAATTAACATTATTCAAGTCTGTTGAATTGCTGCTTTAAACTGCAGCTAGAAAAAGTCTTTCCAGATAAAAATGATGTGCCTGAGGAAAAACAGATACTCAGTACGGTAATCCTCTGCCTCGCCCTCTGACTGTTGATGTGCTAATGTGTCCCCTATATCCTTGGGAATATCCAGGTCCTTGGGCTGGAGAAGTCCAAGTTTGTCCATGTATGTGGCTAATACCACCAGGGTTTTCTTGTAAATTACTTCCATAACTATAGCTGTGCATCTTTGTGGACAAAGAATGAGTACTTTCTGACCCTGTGGATGTGTCACCACTGTTTCCCAGAACTGCAATAGGGCCATGGCTATATTCAAATCTATGGTCCTTATCGCCACTAAATAGCATGGGACCAGTGTTGAGGTAAATGTCTCCATAACCAGTTACTGAGCTGGAAAATGGCTCTGAAAAGGCAGAGGGTGGAGGTGCACCACCAGAGTGAGATGAAGCAGTACTGTAGTTATCCAAAGACTGAATATCTGAGTTTCCAATGAAGCTTCTCCTTTCCAGTGCCCCAGATGATCCACTTCCTATTCCATCACTACCACCATAATGGGCAGAAGAGAAGGAAGATCCAAAATTATCCTTGAAATCAGTTACATAGGAGTCTCTTGCCTGATAATCCACATTAGTTGCTACTGGTTCTTCAGTTGTCTGAACCTGATGCTGAGCAAGCAGTTGTAGAAGAGCAGCTTTCACCCCAGCATGAGGATCCATTGCTGAAGAGCTAGAAATAGGCAAATGCTGGTTTTCTGTCCGATAATCTAGGTCCTCGTCATCTTCTTCGGTGAGAGGTGGTGGTTCTGGTGGCTCTGGAGGACGCTGATCTGGGGGCAAGATGCGAGGGCGTTCTTGTTCTGGTGTTAGATTTAGAACCCTCCTATCAGGCTGTCTAACCAAATCATCTTGACCTAAATGTTTTAAAAACAAAAGCATTAGAATAAAATCTGAAATAACTTTAGACCATTACAACAACTGCAGAAATACATAGCAAGATTATCAAAGTTTTGCTACTACATTTCTTCACAAAAAAATAAAGTTTAATCCATGAAGTTTAAGAGTAACTAAGAAACGGCATTTTAGAGAAGCAAAGACATTGCCCTTTGTCACAACCGAGAGTTCCAGGATCCTCTGGCAAGCATGCCTGATCATCCAACTTATAGACAGAGGAGGAGGAAAATGGCACAATACCCTTGTGGAATCTGGTAGCAACAGATGTT